CAACCCTCCAGGGGCCCTGTGTAAACCAAAAAATATGGTTACAGAGTGCAGAGGAGCAGCACCCACCAGAGTGGTCTTCAGAGAGCTACAGACTGCAGACCTCTTCCTTGACAATCATGTTCCTATTTTTCCCTAGTGCGATGTAAGCAGACCTCCCTTAGAGCCCACTTCTCCGGACTCAATCCGTAGGTCACGCCAGGGTCCCCGCCAGCCGTGGGCTGGTCGGCCTACCCGCCGTCAGGCTGGTCACTGGCAATGCGCAAAATTTTGAGTGCACCAACTTTGGCAATTACTCGCACTCGATATTTTTTATGCGCAAAATTTTAAGTGCACCAACTTTGGCAACTTCACTCCAAGAGAAGTGGGCGTTTAAGTCAGAGCAAAATTTTGAGTGCACCAAGTTTTCCTCAGACAGGGTCACACAACAGCTATGCAAGGATAAGGTCAGATGCATCGCTGTCAGAGCCCTGCAGGCTTCAGAGGAGGAGCTTGGAGGGCTGGACATGGAAGCCATGGCTGCCAACCTTTTGTAGGACTGAAGGAGAGGAAGAGAGAGAGACACTCTGGCTCGCCGCCAAGTCTTGCACCTGCAATGCGGGGCAGCGGTCAACGAGTCTTCTGGTTCCACAATTTCTGCTGTCTCCACCCGAATAGAACAATGCCCAGTAAATATTGTCGTATCTGGACTGAAGTTGCACCAAGTACAGCTATAATGATCGGGCGTTCTATTTGAGTTAAGACCGTAGACTGAGAGCTGCAGTGGTACATAGAGCAAAAGATACAATGCCCAGTATACAACTGCATTGATATGCAGAGCAGCAGACACAACAACTGAAGGGAATAGCAAGAGAGCGACTTCCTCTAGGCCCAACCTAGAGAGCCCTGGTCTACTGCCTTAGCGGTTAAACCACTAGTACACGGGCCCAGCCTTGCGGAAAGTTTTTGTCGCCACAAGCAAAACTTGGAGGGCACGCGCTGCATGGGGCGCCGTTAAAAAACACAAAATAAGCGGCCTCCGAAGCGGGTGTGGATTCCACGCTGACACCCCCGGGCCCTATGTATGGTGTACTGGTGCTTTAAAGAACAAGTACACAGCCCCAGCCTTGCAGTCCAAAACTTGTCGCCATAAGAAAACAAGGCCGAAACATCAAACGCTGGGTCCACCGTTGACGAATTCCATCGACGGCCGCATTTTCGTTTCGCGCCTCCAGAATTTGAGGTGTCAGACCAGCGTCCCAGTTAGTACACAGCCCCAGCCTTGCAGTCCACACAGCCCCAGCCTTGCAGTCCAAAACTTGTCGCCACAAGAAAACAAGGCCGAAACATCAAACGCTGGGTCCACCGTTGACGAATTCAATCGACGGCCGCATTTTCGTTTCGCGCCTCCAGAATTTGAGGTGTCAGACCAGCGTCCCAGTTCCCCATGTACTGGTGCTTTAAGGCAGAGATAGGTCAATGAGCATGTAAGAAAAGCAAACAAAATGGGGAGAGCGAGGCCAAGCACTGCAGATGCACTTGACAAGAGGAGGCACTCCGTACGGCTCAGAAAGGGTGCAGCCATCACCATTCAGAAGAACCCGACCAGGATTGTTGGTAGATGCAAGCTGCCTGCTTGATCTCTTGCTCAAGCCCTCTACTTCGGGTTAAGAAAACAAAAGCGGAACCCAAGTCCACCCCTCTGGTCTTTTTCTGCTACCCTAGCTCCCATGAAGTCTAATCCTGCAAGCCACCCCTCTGGTCTTTTTCTGCTACCCTAGCTCCCATGAAGTCTAATCCTGCAAGCCCAGAAAAGTCTAAAAAGGCCTTTCCAGCTACTAAGGACTACCTTCTTCACGTGGACAAAACACTCAGAAGCTTTATCAAACTAAATCTTTGTTTAGAGCTATCGGGCAGTCGTATTGGGGAATTATGTTCGAGGAGGAGGCCAAAGCTATCGTTAACGCAGCCATGACGACTTGAACAAATATGTATTGTACTCTGCGACCATATATAGGACCTCTCTCCACTGCAAATCACAGTTAAATGTATTTGACAAATTCATAATCTTTGATCCGTCCAAATGTATTTGGAGCATATGCAGTCCAGATTCATGTTGAATGTTGAGCAATGAAGCAAGGCTTCTGTCAAAGAGAACTGCCTGGTGAATGGTGGGCCGAAGGGCGAAAAGGACAAGAAACAGGATGCTGTGACACACTGTGTGCAAATTCATAATCTTTGATCGGTCTAAATGTATTTGGCCCATACGCAGTCCAGATTCATGTCGAATGTTGAGCAGTGAAGCGAGGCTTCTAGACACAGAAAACTGCCCGGTGAATGGTGGGCAGAAGGGCGAAAAGGACAAGAAACGGGATGCTGTGACGGACTGTTCCATCGGTAGTTTCACCCATACATAATGCAGCATTGCAAAACAAAAACAGCCCAAAAATTTTTTATTTTTATTTTTGAAGGCGGCGTCCTCCTGTGCTCGGAGAGAGGACCCCGAATCTGCAATAAAATTCTGGTTTGGGGAGGGGACGGTTGTCTGGGTGTGAGGGAGGGGGGGGGTTGTTTCTGGGTGTTGGGGACTCTGCATGTATGTTGCCCGCTGTTTGCTGCAGGTGTGATATCAAGTACATACTGGGATGGGAGAGACTATGGCGAGACGGGAGGGAGGGAGGGATGGCGAGATMCTATGGCGAGGTGTGGATATGGGAGGGAGGGAGGGATAGCAAGATGGCGAGGGAGGGAGGACTCCAGGGGAGTATGGCAAGATGTGGAGATGGGACGGACTATGGTGAGATGGGAGGAAGGGAGGAATGGCGAGATGGCAAGGGAGGGAGGGACTATGGTGAGATGGGAGGGAGGGAGGGATGTACTATGGAAGATGAGGGGGGGGCGGAGGAGGAGAGAAGTACAAGAAGTAACAGAAGGGAGGAAGAAGAGGAAGAAGAAGATGGCGGCGGCGGCAGGGCGGGATGGTATGGCGGCGGGCTGTGGCGGCGGTCGAAGAAGACGAAGAAGAAGACGAAGAGGAAGACGAAGACAAAGAGGAAGACGAAGACAAAAAGGAAGACGAAGACGAAGAGGAGGAAGAAAACGAAGAGGAGGAAGAAAACGAAGAGGAGGACGTGAGATGGGAGGGAGGGAGGGATGTACTATGGAAGATGAGGGGGGGGCGGAGGAGGAGAGAAGTACAAGAAGTAACAGAAGGGAGGAAGAAGAGGAAGAAGAAGATGGCGGCGGCGGCAGGGCGGTATGGTATGGCGGCGGGCTGTGGCGGCGGTCGAAGAAGACGAAGAAGAAGACGAGGAGGAGGAAGAAGAAGAGGAAGAAGAAGAGGAAGAAGAAGAGGAAGAAGAAGAGGAAGAAGAGGAGGAGCAGGAGGAGGAGGAGGAGGAGGAGGAGGAGGAAGGAGGAGGAGGAAGAAGAAGAGGAAGAAGAAGAGGAAGAGGAAGAAGAGGAGGAAGAAGAAGAGGAAGAAGAGGAAGAAGAAGTGGACGAAGAAGAGGATGAAGAAGAAGAAGAAGAAGAAGAAGAAGAAGAAGAAGAAGAAGAAGAAGAAGAAGAAGAAGAAGAAGAAGACGGCGAAGAAGAAGAAGACGGCGAAGACGGCGGCGGAGAAGAAGAAGAAGAAGAGGAAGAGGAAGAGGAAGAAGAAGAAGAAGAAGAAGAAGAAGAAGAAGAAGAAGGAGGAGAAGGAGGAGGAGGAGAAGGAGGAGGAGGAGGAGAAGCAGAAGGAGGAGAAGCAGGAGGAGGAGAAGGAGGAGGAGGAGAAGAAGAAGAAGAAGAAGAAGAAGAAGAACACGACGACGACGACGAAGACGACGACGACGATGAAGAAGAAGACGAAGAAGAAGACGCCGACGACGAAGAAGAAGACGCCGACGAAGAAGAAGATGCCGACGAAGACAAAGAAAAGAAGAAGAAGAAGAAGAAGAAGAAGAAGAAGAAGAAGAAGAAGATGATGATGATGATGATGATGATGATGATGACGATGAGCGGAGCAGTTTTTTTTTTTTTTTTTGAAGAAGAAGATGATGATGATGATGATGATGATGATGATGATGATGATGATGATGACGATGAGCGGAGCAGTTTTCTTTTTTTTTTCCTTACCTGTCGTTTATCTCGCGACCTATCGCTAACGAATGTAGAAAAAAAGAAGAAAAATAAGATAGTCAGAAGAGGACGAGGAGGAGAGAAGAATAAGAAGAAGAAGATGAGGGGGAGGAAGTATAAGAAGAAGAAGAAGAAGAAGAAGATGAGAGGGGGAGGAGGAGGAGGAGAGAAAAAGAAGTAGAAAAACGAGCGGAGGAGGAGGAGGAGGGAAGAAGAACTAGCCGGGTTGTCGGCAGGCAGGAGCACCGCGATCGACGACGCTGGTGACGGGCGACGGGCGACTCGACGACGACGGGCGAATGAAGCTCCCAAGCGATGGCGACGAGCAGCAGCTACTTCGACGACGGGCGACTCGACGACTAACGCAGGCGGCTGGAGCAGGTATCAAGGCCCCGTTTAGACAGCCAATGCAGGCCGCCCCAGCCAGTCGCTTGTTCAAACGGGGCCTCCGTTTTCCCTCCAAAAACGAATGGCCCTCTGGTCGTCGATCATGGATGATCGACGGCCAGAGGGTCGTCCCAAAATCAAAAAAAAAGAAAACAAGCCTCACGGGCCCGACGCGCCGTTTTCTCGGCGTGGTTGGACCCGGTAGGCCTTGGGGATGGGAAATCTTGCCGATTCGAGGTCGGAACCCCCCCACCAACAAGGTGTGCTTGGGGGGGCCGGCCCCCAACCAGGCCGCCTGCCCGACCAGGCCGCCCGGGACCTCCCCCGGGCAGGCGCTGGTCAGTCGGGCGGCCCCGGATCCGTACGCAGCTTTGCCCCACTATGTCTCACTTTGTCCCAAAGACCATCTCGCAACTCTTTTTTTTTTAATAAAATAGAACTTTAGGGTTCTGGCTCCTTTTCCATTCTGGGGAGCATCAGTCCAGTTCCTATTGAATTACAATGAGTTTCTGGGGAGCATCAGTCCAGTTCCTATTGAATTACAATGAGTACTCTACTACTCACACACGCCTTCCCCCTTATGGTGTGAAGGCCCAAAGGACGACATTGATTACTTCCTCCTCGCAGGAAGGATGTACCGCCCTTCACCCCTGCCTAAGTTAGCCTAAGCTACCTTGCTCCTCGTCTTATCTGCTAGCCTTTCCTAGCCTTTGTTTGGAAAATAAATCCTTCCCTGATTGGGATCCTACCAGCCTGTTCCTCTCAGTACTTTGATTGTCGGATTGGCCTTCCTTACTAAAACTGCTGATTGGTCCCTTTACGATGGACTTTACTCAAAGCCTATCCCCCTAACCGTCCCGTTTGTTGAGTCTTTATTGGATACGGGCTAATGGGTTTTAGTGTTTGTTTACTGGTATTGTTTGATTTTTTAACCTTCGCTGGGTTGTGGACTGTCTAGTGGTGTTTGTGGGAGGTAAAGTGTTAAACCCTAAACCCTAGTCCCTCTCTCACTCTCCATTCTGGCCTTCATTTTTCCTTCGTTTGATGATCAACTTTTCTAATTGGACTCTTTCATTTTGAAATATCCCTCCCTATTCTGCTAGATGCTTCCCAACTTTTCAATGGGAATTTGTGTTTCCTTCTACCCTGAGTGCGACCATGGAGTGCTCTCCTCCCTGGTTTGGGTTTTTCGTGTCTGGCTTATCCTTCCTTTCTTTCTTTTTAGGATGCATTCTTTGGCGATTTTCCTAGGGTCTGTCGTTGTTTCCTCCTTGGTATCTTATTGATCTTCTTCCACGTCGCTCTCTTCCTCTTTGGCGATTTTTTTTTAGTAGCCATATTTTCTGGCTAGCCTTTCTTTTCCTGGGGTCTACTAGCCTTTCCTGTTTCTTTATTTCCTTTTTCCATTGTACCCTTATTTCTGCCTCTGTGATTTCCTTCATCTCCTTCCATTCTTTCTCATTCGTTGTCTTCTGATTGCCGAGCTTCCCCTTGCATCTTGATCTCCATACGACCCATAGTGTCGTTCTTCTCAAAAGGTCTACTATGGTTCTTTCTTCTTCTTCTAGGTTTGCATTACTCTCTCTCCCCGAAAGGAGGTAGTCAGCTTGTAGTGGGAACTGGTTTGAGTAGATGTTGGACCAGGCTGTCTTGACCACTTTCGATAAAGTGTCCGCATGGTAACATTCAATCAGGCAGTGTATAAGTGATTCAACTTTGTTTTTGTTGCACATTTTGTAGAGTGCAGACTGTTCTGTTCTGTGCTTGTCCTTCCTTCGTTTATCTAGACACTCGTTGACAGGAACTGCCCAATATAGTATCAGCCATTGTAAGCTTCTGAATCTGGTGGGCTTGATGTTGCTATAGTCGTCCCAGGGAATTTGCGTAGGCCATCCATGTCCTTCTCCCAAATGTTTGATCCATCTTTTTGAGATGATTGTGCGCAGATCTACTATCTCGTTTCTTATCATCTACCCTGCCTTGACTGTATAGTCTTGTAAGCTGATTAACTTTCCAGCTCTGCCACCCCCTTGTTTAACATACCATCTAGGAACTCAAGGTTAACTTTGAGTAAAATACTGAGAAATGCCAGGGGAGGTATCATTGAATTATTTGGAGTTAAGCCACTAGGTACACAGCCCCAGCCTTGCAGTCCGAAACTCGTCGAGAAAACGAGGTCGAAGCGTCAAACGTTGGGCCTGCTGTTGATAAATTGGATCAGCGGTGGCATTTTGTTTCGGTCTTCCAAGATTCAAGGTGTCAGGCCCGCGGCCCAGGAGCCCATATACTGGTGCTTTAAGAAAGGTTTTAGGGGCACTTAGCAGCCAAACTCAAATATTACTCGCAGGAGAATCTAAACTTGTACCTCGTGGTCCTGGTGACTACAAGCCCGGCGACTACGATCAACCCAAACTAACCTTCAGTTTCTGGTTGAAGATCATTTTCCCCAAGTTTCATTCAGGATTTCTCTTAGGGGTAAACAACAGCTCCTATCCCAAAGTTTTAGCCATAAAATCACCCTTCTTGCTCTTGGGAACCAGACCAAGGTTCCAAACATACCCAAACTACCCCAAAGATTCTGCGTGAACATTTTCGTCCCCAAGTGCAATTCAGGATTCCTTTCCGGGACAAGCAGCAAGTCCTAGCTCTCATCAACTCCTAGCCTGCAAGGCTGAAAGCCCAGGCGAGTCGGTCTAAAACACTCCTCCCTGCTTTTCTATTGTTCCAACCAATCTAACGTTTCTGATCAACCCAAATAGGCAAAATAGCTTCTGCAGAGCTTGCCAGTACTCCATTCAGGACAAATAGCAACTCCTACACTACACCCCTTATGAAGCTCTCAAGCCACCAGTCGCCCGGCTGCTCTGAAATTGAGATACCGGTAGTGCACCGCGATGCCGGGGACCACGGGGAGTCAGCGGCGGAATGCAAAACCTTGTGCGCCAACGTTTTTTGGGCTTTCCCGCGCTTTGAAAACAGTTGTGGGTGGACATTTGATGGTGATCTTTTCGGGAAAAATGTTCAAAGAATTGAAAGAAAATACCAATTCTGAGGGTGTACTCTTTCTAGGGCTTTCTCATAAGTACATCACAACTTTTCAACCCGGTTTGGATGCACCTGGCCACAATTACATCCACAGAGAAGTTGAAAACGTTCTAGTGTGTACGTCCTAAGATGGCAATGAAAAAAAACAGCAGCAACCTTTTTTTTTTTTTGAGCATCTTTCTTCTTTCTGCTACTAGCATTAGACCCAAAGGATTTCCGCGAAGAAAATGCTACCGGTCCCGCAGGAATTTAGAACCACCATGGGACTGGCAGTTCAACCCGCAATTGTCAAGGACAAACAACAACTCCTAGGTCTTCTCAAGCTCTTCAACTGCATGCCAAAAAGGGTCCTTCTTGCTCCCACCCTCTTCCCCCGAATAAACCACACCCTCATCACAACTGGATCGAACTGGAGAGCCAATTGCGATGAGGGGGTTCCCCCAAACAAACCACACCCTCGTAGCAACTCGATCGAACTAGAGAATCAGGGTGGGTCGTGTTCAAAAGAAGACGGTAGGTGCGTCATGTTCAGGACAAGACGGTAGGTGCATTACATTCGGCAGAAGATGGTCGTCTGAAATCTATGACCCACAGCACTGCCCCTATGTTTTATGTGTGAACACTTCCCTGGAGTTTGTTAAACCGCCAGTACATGGCCCCAGCCAACTTGAGAATCACGAATGATCAATCCGAAAAGTTTTGATGAACACTGCAACCGGACCAAGACAACTGGAGGCGCCAGCCAAAAGAGAACAAAAGTGTTTCGGCAAAGCTTTTGGCGTGCACGGGGGTTCAAGGCTCATAAATTGTGCCTCAGATGTACTGGTGGTTAAAGGATGTCTTTCAGAAATAAATGATACCTCCTACCGTCTTCCCCAACAAAGAACCCGCAATCATATCGCAGTATCTGGACTGGAAGTTACTCCAAATACAGCTTTAATAACAGTGCTTTCCTTCTATGAAGTGGAAGAGGGTAGATCTCCTCATCTCCTAGCGTGCAAAACCCAGGAGAGCCTAAATGGCCCTTCTCTGGGATCTATGCAAATATCGCCCTAAGAGTCTTGAAGTTCATTTCATATCCCTTTTCGGAAAAAAGGGCAACCCTTAGCTCGTCTGTACTCTTCGTAGCCTACCAACTACGAGAGCCCGAGGGCCAAGGCACCTTGGTCTATGTTTCTTCTTACCAACTAGGAGAGCCCGAGGGCCGCGGCACCTTGGTCTATGTTTCTTCTTAGAGGGAATGAACCTGACCATAAAACACTCCAATTCTTTAGTTGAACACTGGTGCTTTCTTCTTAGAAAGGAGTGAACCTGACCATTAAAACACTCCAATTCTTTACTAGAACACTGGTGCTTTCTTCTAAGAAGCAATGAACCTGACCTTAAGAACAATCCAAATCTTGCTTAGACCATTGTGCTTGGTCCTACAATGCCCCTTCCTGCTACCTGCTTCGAATGGGCTTTAGCCAGAAGACTATCGTCTTCACCCAAATAGACCACTCGATCATTATAGCCGTACCTGGACTGAAAATTGCACCAGATATGGCTGTAATGACCAGGTGTTTCTATTCAGGTGAAGACGGTAGGATTAACCCATAGTATAGGTTTAACCCATAGTGAGAAGACTAGGATCTACCCAAATGAGCCCAAAGATTCAGAGTTAATATTGTCCTGAAGATCTTTTGACTTAAAATAACCCCACGTGATCACAATCGACTTAAACCGCCACTACCCCCGCCGTCATAAATTACGGGGGACCGGTAGCACAGGTCCATGAGGGCTACCAGTAGCACAGTGGGGGGAACTGGCGGAATGGCATAATTGGAAAATGCGTCAAATTGCCCCGCTGTAATGACCCACCATAACACAGACTGAGAACACTGCTG